ATGACAAAAAAGCAGGGGTAGCAATACTTATACAGTGGGCCTTGACTTACAAGTTTAATTCGTACTGAGACGGAGCTCCTTTAGGAGCTCGTTAACTCAAATTACTCTGTCAACTCAATGCAAGAAATCGGCTGAGAGACAGCTGGTATCTCAAAAAACTCGTTAGTCGGCACTCGTAAGTCAAGGCCCCACTGTATCTGACAAAATAGACCTCAAAGTGAAGGCCACAGCTAGAGCTAAGGAGGGCCACTTCATAATACTAAAGAGAGACGATTCAACAAGAGGATATAACTCTGATAACTGGGGGACTTTAATACCCCATTGACACCACTGGATAAATCCTCTAAACAAAAAATCAGCAAACAAACAGTAATCCTAAGCGACTCACTAGATCAGATGGAACTAAATGACATCTTCAGAACATTGCACCCCAAAGCTACAGAATTCTCAAGTGAACCCAGGACATTTTCAAAGATAGACCACGTGTTAGAACACAGGCAAAGTCCATTCAAATTCAAGAAGATAGAAATCATATCAAACATCTTCTCATATCACAATGGCATAAACTTAGAAACCAACTACAATAAAAACAACGAAAAAAAAGCAAACACTTGGAGGCTAAACAGCATGTGCTTAAACAATGACTGTGTTACTAAGATATCAAAGAAGAAATAAAAAACATCCTGGAAATAAACGACAATGAAAATACAACGATCCAAAATCTATGGGAAACAGTGAAAGCAGTCCTGAGAGGGAAGTTCATAGTTCTACAGGCCTACCTCAAAAAAAAAAAAAAAAAAAAACCACAAGAAAAAATGGTAATAAATTATCTAATCCTACAACTTAAATTAGAAAGAGAGCAACAAAAAAAGCCCAAAGTAAAAGGAAGAAAATAATAACGATTAGAGCAGAAATAAATGACATAGAGACCAAAAAAAAAAAAATTACAAAATATCAATGAAACCAAGAGCTGGTTCTTTGAAAGGATAAACAAGATTGATGAATCCCTAGCCAGGCTCACCAAGAAACAAAGAGAGGGGACCCAAATAAAATCAGAAATGAAAGAGGTGGACTAACAACCAACCCAACAAACATACAAAGGATTATAAAAAAAATACTATGAACAACTCTACTCCAACAAACTGGACAACCTAGACGAAATGGACATATTCCTAGAAAAATACAAGCTTCCAAAACTCAATCAGGAAGAATAAAAAAATCTGAATAGGCTGTTAACTACTGATGAAATTGAAACAGTAATCAAAATACTTCCAGCAAACAAAGGCCCTGGACCAGACAGCTTCACAGGGGAGTTTACCAAACATTTAAAGAAGAACTAACACCTACCCTTTTCAGACTATTCCAAAAAATTCAAGAGGAAGGCATACTTCCAAACGCTATGAAGCCAGCATTACTCTAATCCCAAAACCAGATAAAGAAAGAAAATTACAGGCCAATATCCCTGATGAACATAAATGCTAAAATCCTCAGCAAAATGCTAGCAAATCAGATCAGCATCATATTAGAAAGACCATACACCATGACCAAGTGGGATTTATTCCAGGGATGCAAGGATGGTACAATATCTGCAAATCAATAAACATTATACATCACATAAACAAACTGAGAGGAAAAAAATCACATAATCACATCAATTGATGCAGAAAAAGCATTTGACAAAATCCAACACCCTTTCCTGATAAAAACTCTCAGCAAAGTGGGAATAGAGGGATCATATTGCAACATAATAAAAGCCTTATATGTAAACCTACAGCTAACATTGTACTCAATGGGCAAAAACTAAAAACATTTCCCCTAAGAACAGGAACAAGACATGGATGCCCACTTTCACCACCCCTGTTCGACATAGTTCTGGAAGTGCTAGCCACAGCAATCAGACAAGAAGAAAAAATAAAAGGCATCTAAACTGGAAAAGAAGAAGTAAAACTGTCATTATTCACAGATGACATGATAGTGTACACAGAAAATCCTAAAGACTCCATCAAAAACTACTAGACTTAATAAATGAATTCGGCAATTTAGCAGGATACAAAATTAACACCCAGAATTCTATGGCTTTTTTATACACCAACAATGAACTCACAGAAAGAGAAACTAAAAAATAATCCCATTTACCACTGCAACAAAAAAATTAAGATACCTAGGAATAAACTTAACTGAGGAGGTAAAAGACCTGTACTCAGAAAACTACAGGACGTTGAAAAAAGAGATAGAGGAAGAATATACCATGTTCATGACATGGGTAGAATCAACATCATTAAAATGTCCATTCTCCTCAAAGCAATCTATATATTCAATGCAATCCCCATTAAGATACCAACAGCATATTTCAGACCTCGAACAAACTCTCCAAAACTTCACATGGAATAAAAAAAGACCCCGAATAGCCACAGTAATCCTAAGAAAGAACAAAGTTTGAGGGATCACAATACCAGATATTGATCTATATTACAAAGCCACTGTTCGCAAAACTGCCTGGTACTGACATAAGAACAGACATACAGACCAGTGGAACAGAACAAAGAACCCAGAAATCGACCCAAGCCATTATGCTCAATTAATATTTGACAAAGGAGGCAAGAACATACAATGGAGTCAAGTCAGTCTCTTCAATAAATGGTGTTGGGAAAATTGGACAGATACATGAAAAAAAATGAAACTAGACCACCAACTTACACCATACACAAAAATAAACTCAAAATGGATAAAGGACTTAAATGTAAGACAGGAAACCATAAAAACCTTAGAGGAATCCACAAGCAGCAAAATACCAGGCAGCAAAATATCTCGTAGCAATATCTTTACCAATACACCTCCTAGGACAATGGAAGCTAAGGAGAAAATTAAACGGGACTACATCAAAATAAAAAGCTTCTGCACAGCAAAAGAAACCATTAACAAAACAACAAGAAAGCCGACTGCATGGGGGAACACATTTACCAATGTTATCTCTGATAAGGGTCTAATCTCCAAAATTTACAGGGAACTCATACAACTTAACAAAAGGAAGGTAAACAATCAAATCAAAAAATGGGCAAAGGACCTAAATAGACACTTTTCAAAAGAGGACATACAGAAGGCCAGGAGACATATGAAAACATGCTCAAAGTCACTAATCATCCGAGAGATGCAAATCAAAATACCTGTCAGAATGGCTATCATCAACAAATAACAAGTGCTGGCGAGGATGTGGAGAAAAAGGAACCCTCGTGCACTGCTGGTGGGAATGCAGACTGGTGCAGCCACTGTGGAAGACAGTATGGAGTTTCCTCCAAAATTTAAAAATGGGACTCCCATTTGACCCAGTGATTCCACTTCTAGGAATATATCCCAAGAAATTAGAAACACCAATCAGAAAGGATATATGTACCCCTATGTTCAATAGCTAAGATTTGGAAACAGCCTAAGTGCCCATCAGCAGATGAGTGGATTAAAAAGCTGTGGTACATCTACACAATGGAATACTGTAAAAAAGATGGAACTCTTACCATTTGCAACAGCATGGATGGACCTGGAGAGCATTATGCTAAGCAAAATAAGCCAGTCAGAGAAAGATAAATATCACATGATCTCACCCATTTGTGGAATATAATGAACAACATAAACTAATGAACAAAAATAGAGCCAGAGTCATAGAAGCATCGAACAGCCTGTCCAACCTAAGAGGGAAGGCAGGGGTGGAGGTGGAGGGGGGGTGGTGGTGATGAGGCGGTAGTGGTAAGATCAACCAAAGGATTTGTATGCACATATATGAGCATAACCAATGGACACAGACAGTAGAGGGGTGAGGGCATGTGCTGGGTGGTGGGACGGCAAGGGAGAGGTTAATGGGTGGGGGGGGGGGGGAAGGAAACTTATGTAATACTCAAACAATAAAGAATTTAAATAAATAAAATAAAAAATACTTAAATTAGTTCACAAAGAAGAAAGGTCTTCAAGTTTTTCATTCATTTGTCCCCAAAGAGTTCCCCCCCAAATTAGAACCCAGTACACAGAAGAGAAAAATAACACCATATTTGTTCAAGCACAGAGCACATGTTCTTCACTTATATTAGCTTATTTTATACATATCTCACAGAGATGTATAAATATATAAATATGCATATCTATATACACACATCAGAAAAAAAGTAAGTCATGAACCCATCTTTTCAGTTATCTTTGTAAAAGTCAATAAAATAATGCCAGCAACAGCATTATCAAATAACCAGGTGATGATGACTGCTCTAATTGGACTCTAACAAAGCAAATATGCATTTATCTCAACACATCCATCTTTCTTGCCCTCAACATTCCTTAGATTATTATAAGGTAAAAAGTATGGGTAGGAATTAACGCCAAATAATTTCTCTTAAAAATTTTAATTATCTGTATATAGTTCTAATCTCTGAACAGATAACCTTCCTTTAAAACACAATTCAACAGTCTAATACAATTAATTTAAAATTTTTTTTTAATTTTTCTAAACAGAATTTCTCATCTACTTCATAAATACTTTTGTCTAAAGAGCAATCTGTTAACACATGCAGTTTAAATCATTAACTACACAGCACCAAATCATTAGTATAATTAGCATGTAAATTTCATGGAGTCACTGATTGAGTTCTCTTAGGCATTTTATACAACATCCAGTACAAGGATGCTCATTAAACATTTATGATGTTTAGTAATAAAAATAATGTGCCAAAACAAAAGTATTTATTATACCACTTGGCTGTCATGTATAATATAAACCACTGATCAGTATCTGCTTCTCCAAGTGCAATTATAAGAAACCAAAACCAAAACAAACCCCATTCAAATTAGAAAGTCTGTCTCCTGTGTCCAAGAATACTGTTTCATTTTTATATCAGAAAGAAACTGTCAGACAGCATGCAACATGCAGACGGTTGGGGTATTTAACCTAAGTAGTTATGCACCATTAACAAAGCACAAAGCCTAAAATATTTCATGCATATTTTTAGAAATATTTTCCTTACCTTTCCCATTTTGCCATGTAGTATACCAAGATAAAGTAAGGAATGAAGTGATAAATGCTAAAACGGTGGCTACAGTTCCATTTCGGAGCCTCATCTCATTTCACCATCACACTGGTTCATACATTTACGAAGTCAACTGAATCCAGTACTCCTGGCTCTGGGCCAATGAAAACAATCAATAAGATAGGCTCATTTCAGATGCTCTGCAGAGTAAGTTTGATAGCAACACCAGTCACTCCTGCTATTCAGAATTGTCTTCACAGTCTTCATAGGTTGATGTCTCAGGTTTTCTTCCTATCCAAGAGGAAAACAGGAAGGAAAAACTTGTTCAGTAATGCAAAATATTGCTTTCTTCATTTATTGGTCACCATTACAAATAGACTTTTGGCGGGGCTAAACTGTATCTATGAAGATTATTCCCACACCTAAACCACTCATTCATATACTAGGATTATAGGCTTCTTTGCTTCAGGGGAATAAAGCATCAAACTATTCCCTCCTTGTTGGTTTGGTTTTGTCTGTGAAAAGAAAGTTATGATTACTTATTTAAGAAGGGAAGTTGTGGGTTCATTAAATATACAATAAGCCAGATTCCATGCTGAGAACTCTAATGATCACACAATGGTTCCTGAGTAACATAATCTTCACTATCCTCAGTTTTCCTACAGCACAATAGCTGTTCTAAAAAACATTAAGAAAAGTGACAGACTACAACATCAAAAAACCTGGGTCCTAGATCTGGCTCCATCATTATTTACACGGGAAGGTATGTCCCTTATATAGGCCTTACCTTTTCTTTTCTTTTTTTAAATTAAATCTTTATTGTTCAGATTATTACAGTTGTTCCTCTTTTTCCCCCCCATAGCTCCCCTCCACCCAGTTCCCACCCCACCCTCTGCCCTTACTCCACCCCCCACTGTCCTCATCCATAGGTGTACAATTTTTTTTCCAGTCTCTTCCCGCACCCACACCCCTTTTCCCCCGAGAATTGTCAGTCCACTCCCTTTCTATGCCCCTGATTTTATTCTGTTCATCAAATAATTTATTCACTTGATTTTTAGACACTTGTTGATATGTATTTGTTGTTCATAATTTTTATCTTTACCTTTTTCTTCTTCTTCCTCTTCTTAAAGGATACCTTTCAGCATTTCATATAATACTGATTTGGTGGTGATGAACTCCTTTAGCTTTTTCTTATCTGTGAAGCTCTTTATCTGGCCTTCAATTCTGAATGATAGCTTTGCTGGGTTAAGTAATCTTGGTTGTAGGTTCTTGCTATTCATCACTTTGAATATTTCTTGCCACTCCCTTCTGGCCTGCAAAGTTTCTGTTGAGAAATCAGCTGACAGTCGTATGGGTACTCCCTTGTAGGTAACTAACTGTTTTTCTCTTGCTGCTTGTAAGATTCTCTCTTCGTCTTTTGCTCTTGGCATTTTAATTATGATGTGTCTTGGTGTGGTCCTCTTTGGATTCCTTTTGTTTGGGGTTCTCTGCGCTTCCTGGACTTGTAAGTCTATTTCTTTCACCAGGTAGGGGAAGTTTTCTGTCATTATTTCTTCAAATAGGTTTTCAATATCTTGCTCTGTCTTCTTCTGGCACCCCCATAATTCGGATGTTGGTACGCTTGAAGTTGTCCCAGAGCTCCTTACACTATCTTCATATTTTTGGATTCTTTTTTCTTTTTGCTTTTCTGTTTGGGCGTTTTTTGCTTCTTCGTATTTCAAATCTTTGATTTGATTCTGCGATCCTCTAGTCTGCTGTTGGAACTCTGTATAATATTCTTTATTTCAGTCAGTGTATGTTTAATTTCTAGCTGGTCCTTTTTCATATCCTCGAGGGTCTCACTAGATTTCTTGAGGGTCTCACTAAATTTATCAGCGTTTCAGGAAAATTCTTGAAAAACCCTTATAAGTGTGGTTTGGAACTCTATATCCAGTAGTTGGCTTTCCTCCATTTCTGTCATTTGTGACCTGTTTCTTGTCTCCGCATTTTTTTATGCTTCCCTGGTTAATAGAGTGGCTTTGTGTGCTAGGTGTCCTATAGGGCCCAGTGGCTCAGGCTCCCCAATGCCTGAGGTGGACACTCCTGGTGCACCCCTTTGTGGGCTTTGTGCACAGTCTTGTTGTAGTTAGGCCTTGGTTTAGGTATCACTGGGAGGAATTGACCTCCAGGCCAATTGGCTGTGAGAAGCAGCTGTGTCTACGGTGGGAGAACTTCTGTGCTGGAGACACCCTTCTGGGGCAAGACTTGCTTCAGTGGGGCTTTGGTGCTCACTGAGTCTGCCCCCTGAGTGTGTCCCTTATGGATCTGAGGAGTTGTAATCTGGATGGTCCCACTCTGACCACTGGGTACACTGGCACTTGGATCTCTAAGGAGGTGCTAATTTAGCCCCTGCCTGAGGCTACCCTAGCAGGAGCTACGGAGAGATCTGCAGACTCCTCTTCTTTGTTTGGGGTTTGGAGATGCCCAGATGAGGCCCAGCTGTGAAGCAATGCAAGCTGCTGTGGGGCCTTGGGCCTTCTTTTGGATGTTCTGGGTCTCTCTGACCCAGCTGCAGTTTGTTAGGTAATTTTCAGATTGCAAAGGGCCAGGCCATTCACATGTAAAAGCCTCTGTGCACAGCTTGGGTGGGGCGGGGTCTCAGGGAATCAACAGGCGGAGCAAACAGCTATGCTGATCCTCAGCCCTGCCTTAAGAGGCCCCAGGTCTCAGTGTCCTGCGGTAATCGCTGCAAGCACCTCTGAGAGAAAAACAGTCCAGTTTCTCCCCATATGAATCTGGGTCCCCAGAGACTCGCCCGGAACTGGAGTTCAGAGCAGTCGGGAGTTTGTGTCTCCCTCCCGATTGAAAAAGACAACTGCATCCTCAGTTGCCAGCTCTTTCCGCGTGCGCCTCCGTACCTCTGCACTTTACTTCCGCACCTCCTCTGAGTCTCAGTGTGCTTTTCTCTTTCCTTCTAGTTGTAGAATTTCCACTGAGCCAGCCTTCCGGTGGTTCTGGATGATGTCCGTTTTGTCTTTTAGTTGTATTTTTGAAGTGGTTGTGCGAGGCAGCAATTTCCGGTGTTTACCTATGCTGCCATCTTGGTTTCTCTTCAGCCTTACCTTTTCATTCATAAAATGCAACCTGTCCTGGCTCCTTTCACATGTTACCATAAATCATTAAAAGGGTACAGTTATTATTGCTATGTACCATCATCAGAGAATAAATGTAGTATTTCCTGTGATTAACATACTCCCAGGATGTAAATTAGGACTGTTTAGGGGTTTAAAAAAAATGCAGCCATCCAACCAGGATATTGTATGACTGAGAACCCATTACTTATCACTGCTGTAAACTCTGGAAAACCAGGTGATCACCACCCACCTAATAAAACTGTTGGAAAAAAAAGTAGAATCAAATGAAGTCCTTAAAAGTACTTGAGCATAACTGCCTAGCACAGTGGTTCTCAACCTTCTGGCCCGTTAAATACAGTTCCTCATGTTGTGACCCAACCATAAAATTATTTTTGTTGCTACTTCATCACTGTAATGTTGCTACTGTTATGAATCGTAATGTAAATATCTGATATGCAGGATGGTCTTAGGCGACCCCTGTGAAAGGGTCGTTCGACCGCCAAAGGGGTCACGACCCACAGGTTGAGAACCGCTGACTAGCACATAATAGGTTCTCAATAAATGTTAACTGTATTAAAAATAAAACCAAACAAAAAAACCTACAGCCAGCCACTGGTTCAATCCACTCTCTGCATAGCAGGTCTCATTCCCTGGGGGCATGTCGAGCACTCAGATGTGCCTTGATTCCTGGTGGCGTCAAGGGGACCACAAGATGCACTTCACAATATACTAAATTACACTCTAGTGGGGTGAGTTAATGCACCTCCAAAAAGGCCTGCCAAGCCCAAGGGACAAGTCCCTCAGTAGAAGGATAGGGCTGATTAAAGCGGCCATTTATAGGCAATTCTGGAACTACCATCTCAGCTACTTTGTAAAAGTGAACATTACCAGCAATCTCTTCTAGTGAAAAAAGATCACTAGGTATAGTATTAGTAATAACGACAAACACTACAACTCACTGAGTGTTTCCTATGTGCTTGGGCCATTCTGTGTTTTAAATCTTCACAAAATCCTATGAGGCAGGCATTATAAACCCTATTTTACAGGCAAGAAAATGAACCCAAAGGCAGCCCTAATTTGTATGACTCCAAAGTCCATGCTCTTTCTTACCTACCAGACCCTTTGCCTCTCACACTCAGCCACCTGCACCTACCCAGGGAGGAAGAGAAGTGCCAGGGATACTCCCAAGTCTCAGGTTACATGAAGAATGTCCCCAAAGTGGTAATTTTTACCCAACAGTTGAAGAGTGAATTTAAAAACATTTTATATTCTCTGACAAACATGGATCTATTACGAAATAAGCTGCAAAATTCATAAGAAATCCCAACGTTTAAACTTAAAATTTGGAAGAAATTTCTCACTTCCTGTAGTCTTTGGCCAACCCCTCCCCTAATGGTGCGTAAGCACGTGCACGCCCACACTCTCAGGCATGCCTGTTAATCCTCCCTGGCCAGCAGCTCTAACTGTGGTATAATATTCTAGAAGCAAAGAACTACCCCCACCCCCACCACTACCACCACAACCACTTCCTTGCTTACTCTGACTATCTGAAAACAAGGAACTCCAAAGATACTCTCACTTACAAGTTATCACTGTTTTCCAAACTCAGTTATTCACCTTCTATAGTAAGACAAGTTAACGTCATATATGCCCATGTCTACAGTTCAGCATTTAAAATCTTCATGGCGGTAGTCTATAATTTCAACTAATTTCCGTCAAGTGTCTAATATCTTGTCTTATGTCAATAAGCACTCAATCATGAGTTCTGATGATAAAAAGAGAAGTGAAGTATATAACTTCTAATTTTAATCCTGGTATGACATCATATAAAAATGTGTATTACTTTCTGTTGCTATATACTTAGCTCTACTTAACTGCAGGAAGGATTTGTCCTGGTAAAGATCTAAAAATGCATAGGTTAGCGTAAACATTCAATTAATTATGGGGAAGTAGAAAAGCGGAAAAATCATAAAATAAAGGATAATTAAAACTAGTTTTATTAAAAATACAAATAAAGCTCATATGATAAAATTCAGTATAAACGGGTAGAGACAAAAGTGAATGAATTCTAAAAGCAAAGTAGACTATATATATATATATATATACTCTTGAAAAACATAAGGAATATTAAATATTGTTTCTGGGAAGTTATTAAGCTCTGGTTTAAAGAAGAT